GTAAATATATAAATATATCGAATGCATTATAAATCTTGATGGTAAAATAAAGAATAGATAAAGAGTGATAAAGAATATGTAGAGATTTGGATTAGGCCCTGCGGGATTCATGGGGGATCCATGCTACGAATATATATCGGCTGTAATTGTAGGAAAAGGTCTTTGGGTTTATTATTATTGTTATTATTATCATTATTATTATTATTATTTTATTATTATTATTATTATTATTATTATTATCATTATCATTATCATTATCATTATTATTATTATCATTATTGTTATTATCATTGTTATTATTATTTTATTATTATTATCATTGTCATCATTATTATCATTACTTTTATCAGCTTTGTTATTATTATTATCATTATTGTTATTATTATTATTATTATTATTACTATTATTATTATCGTTATTATTATTGTTATTACTTTATCATTGTTATTATTTTTATCATTAGTATTATCATTCTCATTATTATTATTATTAAGATTATTATTGTTATCATCATCATTAATATCACCGCCATTAATATTATTGTTATTATTACCATTATTTTTGTCATCATTATTATTAACGTTATTATAATTGTTGTCAACATTGTTATCAAATAGAATTATAACAGATATTATCTCTCCCCCCCTCTACCTCTCTTCATCCTCTTTACCTCCCTCCACTCTCTTTACCTCCCTCCCCCCTCCACCCCCCCCCCCTTCTCCTCATCATCCATTTAGATCATTGTTCTCCTTTTTTTTTTTTTTACCCATTCTGCGTTTGTGTTTGTTTTACTCCTCTTGTCCGGAGTTGATGGGCCTACATTATGCATGATTAGGTTTGCGAATTAGCCAGCTTTTGGAGGTTAATCAGTCTCTGCTTTTGTCTCTTTGTCCGCGTTCGTTTGCTGTGTGTGTGGGGGGGGGAGGGGGAGGGGGTAGAGGATGGAAGGGAGGAGGGAAGAGGAAAGGGTAAAGGGGGGAAGGGGGAAGGGGGAAGGGAAAGGAAGAGGAGGGGGGATATAATAATGATGATAGGAGTTACTTTTGGGAGGAGGAGGAGGAGGAGGAGGAGGAGGAGGAGGAGGAGGAGGAGGAGGAGGAGATGATGATGATGATGATGATACAGAAAGGGGAGGAGGACGGCAGATGGAAGGAGAGGAAGAGGAAAATATAGCATACGAAAGAAAAGGGGAGACAGACATAGAAGACAAAAGAGGACGAGAAGTAACATGCAGAAGGAGGAGGAGGAGGAGGAGAAGAAGAGGAAGAAGAAGAGGAAGAAGAAGAAGAAGAAGAAGAAGAAGAAGAAGAAGAAGAAGGAGAAGAAGGAGAAGAAGGAGAAGAAGAGAAACGTCAGTGGCGCCCCGGCCACCAGGCGGACGGGCAAAATCTCCGGTGTAATTGGAATGGCGCAAAAGTAATTTAATCAGCGAACGAATCTTAATTATTATTCATCTGCATAAAATCTTAAGAATTTGTTGTCGGGAAGGCGGGTTGGAGCTGAAGGGGGCAGGGGGGAGGGGGCAGGGGGGAGGGGGGGTACAGGTTTAGGCCCTTATATGCAAAATTCTACCGCAGAGGCGCTGCGTCGAGTAATTATGAATTCCTCTACAATATGTATATTTTTTCCCTACTTTGGAACTTGGAATAATGAATGGATTAATCTACGAGATACTATATATATAGATATATTTTTTTATCTTCCCCTTTACCTCCATTTACTTCTCCCTCTCTCTTTCTTCTGCATTTCCTCCCACTCTTCACCCATCAATCTTCCACCTCTCTCTCTCTCTCTCTCTCTCTCTCTCTCTCTCTCTCTCTCTCTCTCTCTCTCTCTCTCTCTCTCTCTCTCTCTCTCTCTCTCTCTCTCTCTCTCCCTCACTCTCTCTCTCTTTCTCTTTCTCTCTCCCTCACTCTCCCTCTCTCCCTCTCTCTCTCTCCCTCGCACCCTCCCTCCCTCCCTCATTCTCTAATTCTCTAATTTTCTCATTTTCTAATTTTCTAATTCTCTCATTTTCATATTCTCTCATTCTCTCATTCTCTCCTTTCCCCTTATCCCACGCCCTCCTTTTCCACTATCCTTCCCCTATCCACATTTACCTCTCCTCTTTTCTCCCTCTCCCCTGTCCCCTCATATCACCCCCCCTCCCTCACCCCTCCCCCCCTGCTGTAAAATCTTAAACCGGGCCTGAAAGTCGACGCCGCCAGGGTCCCCCCCTCTCCCCCTCTCCCCCTCTCCCCCTCTCCCTCCCCCGATGGAATAAATCACGCAATATATTAATTATTTCATAAATAAAATAGAAAGTCATTAGGGAGATGAATTGGAATAATTAACCTAGAGGACTGGGAAGGAGAGACTCGAGGTCGGAGGGAAGAGGAAGAGGAGGAGGAGGAGGAGGAGGAGGAGGAGGAGGAGGAGAAGGAGAAGGAGAAGGAGAAGGAGAAGAAGAAGAAGAAGAAGAAGAAGAAGAAGAAGAAGAAGAAGAAGAAGAAGAAGAAGAAGAGAAGAAGAAGAAGAAGAAGAAGAAGAAGAAGAAGAAGAAGAAGAAGGAGAAGAAGAAGGAGAAGAAGAAGGAGAAGAAGAAGGAGAAGAAGAAGGAGAAGAAGAAGGAGAAGAAGAAGGAGAAGAAGAAGGAGAAGAAGAAGGAGAAGAAGAAGGAGAAGAAGAAGGAGAAGAAGAAGGAGAAGAAGAAGGAGAAGAAGAAGGAGAAGAAGAAGGAGAAGAAGAAGGAGAAGAAGAAGGAGAAGAAGAAGGAGAAGAAGAAGGAGAAGAAGAAGAAGGAGAAGAAGAAGGAGAAGAAGAAGGAGAAGAAGAAGGAGAAGAAGAAGGAGAAGAAGAAGGAGAAGAAGAAGGAGAAGAAGAAGGAGAAGAAGAAGGAGAAGAAGAAGGAGAAGAAGAAGGAGAAGAAGAAGGAGAAGAAGAAGGAGAAGAAGAAGGAGAAGAAGAAGGAGAGAGAAGGAGAAGAAGAAGGAGAAGAAGAAGGAGAAGAAGAAGGAAGAAGAGGAAGAAGGAGGAGAAGAAGAAGGAGAAGAAGAAGAAGGAGAAGAAGAAGGAGAAGAAGAAGGAGAAGAAGAAGGAGAAGAAGAAGGAGAAGAAGAAGGAGAAGAAGAAGGAGAAGAAGAAGGAGAAGAAGAAGGAGAAGAAGAAGGAGAAGAAGAAGGAGAAGAAGAAGGAGAAGAAGAAGGAGAAGAAGAAGAAGAAGAAGAAGAAGAAGAAGAAGAAGAAGAAGAAGAAGAAGAAGAAGAAGAAGAAGAAGAAGGAGGAGAAGGAGAAGGAGAAGGAGAAGGAGAAGGAGAAGGAGAAGGAGAAGGAGAAGGAGAAGGAGAAGGAGAAGGAGAAGGAGGAGAAGAGGAGGAGAGGAAGAAGGAGAAAGGTGAAGAATAACGGAGAAAAGAAAGGAGGAGGAGTGGATTGGAAAGATCTTTATTATCGATGATGATGGTGATGATGATGGCTATGATGATGATGATGTTTGTGATGGTGATGATGATCATCGTTGTCGTCGTCGTCATGATGATGATAATGGTGATGATGGTAGTGGTAATGGTGACGAGCATATTAGTAATGATGACAGTGATAATGACACTAACTATGATATTAATAATTATATAGTTAACGGTAATGGAGACGACAGTGACGGTGGATGGAATATGGTGAAGGGAACTGATGGTGATGCGGGCGTGGACGATGAAGCCCTCGTATTTCCGACTATAATCGTGATTGGGGATAAAACGCATCAAGTGTTCGATTACCGATTTTTGCTCCATTAGCCTTTTGTTGGGGATTGGGTGTCCGGTGTGCGAATAATTTGTTATCCACGTTGTATTTGGTTACGTTGTTATTGATATAACTGTTACTACTACTACTATTACTACTCATTATTATTGTTGTTGTTGTTGTTGTTGTTGTTGCTGTTGTTGTTGTTGTTGTTGTTGTTGTTGTTGTTGTTGTTGTTATTATTAACGTAACATTTATATTATTATTATTATTATTATCATTATTATGTTTTGTTGTTGCTGTTGTTATTGGTGTAGTTATTATTGTGGAGTCCACATGTTTCTCTGGTTTGGGCAATGTATATTGTATAATTTATTTTCAGGGTCATATATATCGTATGAAAGTGTATAAGTGTATATAGTATTGGCGTTGTTACGTATTCTGTACTACACATTTCGTCTCCTTCAATATCATTGTTGTTGCCGTTGCATCTCTAAATTGATAGAATGAATAATTATTTTTGTGTATATAGGGCTATTTGTATATTAATTGGTTTCTAAAATAGTAAGATGTGTGCTAGATTTTGTAAGATTTAATTTAATCGGTGAGTAAAAAGCGAAGCTAATTGTGCGCGGATGTCGATGCGCATTTGTCACTGCGTCGGGACAAATGCAACTTAGAAACACATTATTTACTGGTACTTGTGTTTATTTAAGCATATAAATTATTATTATTATTATTATTAATTATTATTAATTATTATTATTATTATTATTATTGTTTTGTTGTTGTTGTTGTTGTTATCATCATCATTATTATTATTCATTATTATTATTTTTATTATTAATGTTGTTTACACGATGATAGAATTTATCAAGCAATGTATCTTGGTTTATCGGAAGAGCCGATGAAATTAATTCGCGTAAGGAATAAACAGACCTTTGTGAAGAATAACCAATTTAAACATCAAAGGTGCCGGTAAAAGGATCTGTTTATATTTTACCTGGAGTAGTGTTGTATTTTGTGTTGCATTGTGATTAATCATGCTTTCAAGTTGAAATTCTCATGTAGGCCTACGAGATAATCCGATTTTAAGTAGATTTCCGACGCGTTGTTTTAACCTTAACCTCAAAAAGGAAAAAGAAAAAGAAAAAAAATATATAAAAATAAAATCAATGTTACAAACAAACTACTGCTGTTACCCTACAACCACCATTATTATTATTCCTATCATTAAGAGAAAAAAAAAAACATTTATTAACCTTTCTTCTCTTCCCCTCCAGGCATGGTAGTGAGGACGGGGCCACCGTAGCCATGGCGTGGTGCTGTGTGCCAGGGAGGGGGCGCTACTCCCCCCTTGTGGCCCCCCGTGTTCCCCCCACCCCCACCTGTACCGCCCCCGCCGCCTCTACTGCCGCCCACGCCCCTGCGAGACGCCCGCTGCTGCTGCTGCTGTCCGTGGTCGTCGTCGTCGTCGCCAGCCTCGCGTCCTCCGTACAAGCTTACGGTAAGTGTGGGTGTGTGATTTTCTGGGAGATGTGGGATGCGGGATGTTGGATGTTGGGTGGGTTCATGTAGGATGTGCTGGGAGATGTGGGATGTGGGATTTGGGATGCTGGGTGTTGGGTGGGTTCATGTAGGATGTGCTGGGAGATGTGGGATGTGGGATGCTGGGTGTTGGGTGGGTTCATGTAGGATGTGCTGGGAGATGTGGGATGCTGGGTGTTGGGTGGGTTCATGTAGGATGTGCTGGGAGATGTGGGATGCTGGGTGTTGGGTGGGTTCATGTAGGATGTGCTGGGAGATGTGGGATGCTGGGTGTTGGGTGGGTTCATGTAGGATGTGCTGGGAGATGTGGGATGTGGGATGCTGGGTGTTGGGTGGGTTGATGTAGGATATGCTGGGAGACGTAGGGTGAAGGATGTAGGATGCATTTTTTATAGGGTGGACTATCTGTTTATGGTGTGTGTCATGTATATAGCTTGTAGGACGTGGGGTAGAAGAAGCGTTGGCAGGATATGACATGTAGGATATAGGACAGGCTTTTTTTATTTCTTGTTTTCTGTTCTTTCTTTCTTTCTTTAATGTCTAGTTTATTTTGCCTTGGAGTCTGGGTCTCGTTGGACCGCGGGGTTGTTATTTATGTTATTTGCTTTTTTCTCTCTTTCGTTTTCTCTTTTTCTCAAGAGGTTTATTTAGGATAAGTCTGTTTATTAAGAGGCTTTTATTTTTGTTTTGGTTCGAAGTGCGTTCCTGAGGGATTTGGGGCAAATTGCTAAAGGAAGAGGGAGGGAGGCGTAGGAGGAATAAGGGAAAGAAGAGGAGAGAGAACGGACAAAAAGAAGGAAGAGGGGGAAAGAGAGAGGATCTTAGGAGAATGAAAAGGAGAAATCGGAAGAAGAAGAAGAAGTAAAAAAAGAAAAAAAGAAAAAGAAGTTGAGGGAGAAGATGAAGATAGTAAAGATGAAGAGTCACAGAGGAAAGAAAAGGAAGAGGATGCGAGACAGGAGGAGGAAGGCGTCCCTCCTGCGCCGCGGCCCACAACAGGCTGAACCTCCTGGGCTCGAGGAAGGGAGCCCTAACATGGGCGGGCGTCGTGAGTCCTGGCGTTTGGATAGGATTGTTAACTTTACGCCCCATATATCGAAGGAAGCTCGACGCCCACGGATATGGGACGTCAACGCCGCCGCCCCCGAATGCGTTTTGTGCCCCCCCCCCTCCTCCTCCACCCCGCCCGCCCGCCATCTCCTTCCCCGACGGCGCCCGTAAGGAATGGTGTTTGTATGCAGATTCGGGGCGCGGGTCTTCCAGTTCGGTCTATGTATATATGATCGTGTTTCCATCTCTTGATCTCGATCTTGGTCTCTCTCTCTCTCTCTCTCTATTTCTCTCTCTCTCTCTCTTTCTCTTTCTCTTTCTCTTTCTCTCATTTTTTTGCTCTCCTTTCCTTCTTTTCCTTATGTCATTAGAAGAGGAGGAAAATTTAAAAAGGGACAGGCAAGCGAAAGAGGGGGGGGGGGAGAGAGGCGCGCATGCACGCACGCACCCGGTCACAGCCGAGTCGAGCGAAGGGCCGTACGTCCCGCGTGATGCGACGACGCCATCGCTCACCCCCCCCCCCCCCCTGAAGCCCCGCCGTCTCTTGCAATTGCCTTCCCGCCGAGCCTTGCCGCGCCAGCCTTTTTAATCATAAATAACAGGACCCGGGGCATAACGGGAAGACGAGGCAGGATAATCTCATTTCTTTTCATCTCTCTTATCCTCCGTGATCTCTTAAACCGATCGCTCCCTCGGTGTCGCCGCCCGCGCTATCCAATCATCATTCGGGGGCGCCTCCTCGGCCTCCTGCGCCCGGCCGTTTGGGGTCTGCGCGGGGGGGTGGCGGGCATGGGCGTGGGCGGCGGGGGCGGATGCACGGCGAGGTGGTTGAATCCGTTCTCTCTCTCTCTCTCTCTCTCTCTCTCTCGAGGGAGACGAACATCTTGCGATTTGGATTTCAGATGCAATGAGGGGGGGGGGGGGGTACTAAGTGTAGGTGTGTGTATGGAGGGACGTGGATATGTGTGTTTGTGTATGTGTGTGCGTGTGGATCTGTGTGTGTGTGTGCGTGTGCGTGTGCGTGTCTCCTCCCGCCGACGCTTATAATCTCCGGCCTCCCTGCGATGTTCCGCCCGACGTTGAGCTTGATTTTGCCCCGAGATCGCGCGAGGCATCAGACTCCGGCGAAAGTGCGGGGCTCGATATGCAAATGCGCCGGAGAGAGAAAAGGGGGATTCTGGTGGGGGTTTGTAGGGAGGGGGGGGAGGGCAGTAAGGAGGGCAAGGGAGAAGGGGGGTGGGGGGGGGGGGGTTCACCCGAGACGGAACAAACAGACGTCGAAGCTTCCAAGACGTTTCGAGTACCTTGCCGATTCCCGCGCCTCGGTCTCCTCTCCTCTCCGGCCGGGGATGGCGGTCTGATCTCCGCGATTTGTCCTCTCGGGCGCCACTTAGCATTTCGTTATATTGGTTATGTATATTTTTTATTTATTTCTTCATCCTTACTCCTCGTTTCTCTCTCTTTCTATTTCTATTTCTTACTCTGTCTTTCTCTTACTCTCTCTTTCTCTTACTTTCTCTTTCTCTTTCTCTTACTCTCTTTCTCTTCTTTCTCTTCTCTCTCTCTCTCTCTCTCTCTCTCTCTCTCTCTCTCTCTCTCTCTCTCTCTCTCTCTCTCTCTCTCTCTCTCTCTCTCTCTCTCTCTCTCTCTCTCTCATTCTCTCCCCTCCTCCCGTCTCTCCTTCTACCCTCTGTTATCCCTTCTTCATTTCCCTCTCCTCTTCCTCCTCCTCATTCCCTTTCCCCCCCCCCTCCCCTCTCCTCCTTTCCCCCCCTCCTCCCCCCTCTCTCTCCCTCCCCCCTTCCCCTTTCCCTCCCCCTCCCCCCCTTCCTCCCCCCTCTCTCTCCCTCCCCTTCTCCCCCTCAACACGTGCGCCTTCATCCCGGGCGACGCGATCCGTAATACGTTAAAAGCACTCGGAAATCTGCGTGAAGGAGTCCCTGAGACGTGGCGCATGCACATTCACCGGCGGGAGGGATCTGGGTCGTGGGCGCGGGCGTGCGGACGGCAAATCTCCCATCAAAGGTACTCCCCTCGTACGTAGGCGGAGATAAGGAGGAGGAGGATGGGGTTGGGGGAAGGGGTAGGAGAGTTAGGAGGGGGGGTTGGGGGTACGGAGGTTGGTTGGGGGTAAGGGTATAGGGAGAAGGGGGAAGCGAGTTCTCGGATATGTATCCATGGGGATAAAGGGAGGGAAGGAGGGAGAGAGGGAGGGAGGGAGAGAGGGAAGGAGGGAGAGAGGGAGGGAGGGAGAGAGGGAGGGAGGAAAGGAAGGGAGATAGGCGGGAGGGAGACTGGGGATGGGGGTGACAGGGAAGAGGGGAAGGAGTTGTGAAGGAAAGAATAAAGGGGAGGGTGATTGAGTATCATAGTTGAGAGGGTATAGAGGAAGAAGGAAAAGGGAGGCAGAAGAAGACGAACAAGAGGGAGAAAACACACACACGCACGCACATATACACATACATTGTGTGTGTGTGCTTGTGTGCTTGTGCATACCTGTTTTCGCACAGCTCTGCAGGTGTGTGCAGCTGCCGTGCATGGCGAGGGAGCGCCCCAAGGAGGCTCGCTGCCGCCGCCGCCTTATCAGGAGGCCTGTCCCCCGGTGCCCTGTCCCCCGGTGCCCTGTCCCCCGGTGCCCTGTCCCCCAGTGCCCGAGTCAAGGCCCTCTAATGAAATGCGGGGTCGAGTCGCGGCGGCCTTGTTCGCGGGGCCGCCGCCGCTCGTGAACTGCTGGGTTTATGGGGCGGCGCCGCCTCCTCCTCCTCCTCCTCCTCCTCCTCCTCCTCCTCCTCCTCCTCCTCCTCCTCCTCCTCCTCCTCCTCCTCCTCCTCCTCCTCCTCCTCCTCCTCCTCCTCCTCCTCCTCCTCCTCCTCCTCCTCCTCCTCCTCCTCCTCCTCCTCCTCCTCCTCCTCCTCCTCCTCCTCCTCCTCCTCCTCCTCCTCCTCCTCCTCCTCCTCCTCCTCCTCCTCCTCCTCCTCCTCCTCCTCCTCCTCCTCCTCCTCCTCCTCCTCCTCCTCCTCCTCCTCCTCCTCCTCCTCCTCCTCCTCCTCCTCCTCCTCCTCCTCCTCCTCCTCCTCCTCCTCCTCCTCCTCCTCCTCCTCCTCCTCCTCCTCCTCCTCCTCCTCCTCCTCCTCCTCCTCCTCCTCCTCCTCCTCCTCCTCCTCCTCCTCCTCCTCCTCCTCCTCCTCCTCCTCCTCCTCCTCCTCCTCCTCCTCCTCCTCCTCCTCCTCCTCCTCCTCCTCCTCCTCCTCCTCCTCCTCCTCCTCCTCCTCCTCCTCCTCCTCCTCCTCCTCCTCCTCCTCCTCCTCCTCCTCCTCCTCCTCCTCCTCCTCCTCCTCCTCCTCCTCCTCCTCCTCCTCCTCCTCCTCCTCCTCCTCCTCCTCCTCCTCCTCCTCCTCCTCCTCCTCCTCCTCCTCCTCCTCCTCCTCCTCCTCCTCCTCCTCCTCCTCCTCCTCCTCCTCCTCCTCCTCCTCCTCCTCCTCCTCCTCCTCCTCCTCCTCCTCCTCCTCCTCCTCCTCCTCCTCCTCCTCCTCCTCCTCCTCCTCCTCCTCCTCCTCCTCCTCCTCCTCCTCCTCCTCCTCCTCCTCCTCCTCCTCCTCCTCCTCCTCCTCCTCCTCCTCCTCCTCCTCCTCCTCCTCCTCCTCCTCCTCCTCCTCCTCCTCCTCCTCCTCCTCCTCCTCCTCCTCCTCCTCCTCCTCCTCCTCCTCCTCCTCCTCCTCCTCCTCCTCCTCCTCCTCCTCCTCCTCCTCCTCCTCCTCCTCCTCCTCCTCCTCCTCCTCCTCCTCCTCCTCCTCCTCCTCCTCCTCCTCCTCCTCCTCCTCCTCCTCCTCCTCCTCCTCCTCCTCCTCCTCCTCCTCCTCCTCCTCCTCCTCCTCCTCCTCCTCCTCCTCCTCCTCCTCCTCCTCCTCC